AAATACAGATCAAACAAAATGGAAGGTTCCCTACTCAAATACCTTACGAACAAAAACTACATAGACACATTTCGTACAATACAAAACATTAAACTAGAAACAGATACAGAGGACACGACAAACACATTACAATTCACATGGACTCGAAATGAATCCAAATCAAGAATAGATCAAATTTGGTTATCACCCAAAACAGCTGATACATTAATTGATATAGACATTATAGATACCAAAGAAGAAATTGCAACAGACCACCACTGTACCAAAGTAATATTACTTGACACATTTTGCAAACCACTTCTTTCAAACATATATAAACAAAAAACTCAGTACAGATACAATCTCAATACAGCTCAAAAAAAAAAATTGAAATAAATTCACTAAAGAATTATCTAATAGAACAATCGTAACAACAAACTCTACACACACTCAATGGCAACAAATCAAATTCAATATAATACAAAGCGCAAACAAAGTAATTAAATGAACTAAACGCAATAACAGTAGAATGGCATCACATAAAGCCTATCTACATAATCATATACCTATATACACAGATGTCACTCGCATACAAAAAATATACAGAATTCTTAGAGAAATAAAAAGAAATAACAAAAACAATACAACTATAATACAATTAAGACTAAATAATCTTATTATACAATACAACAATGAATTGATGTCACCAGATCTTATTATTGATCAATCAAATATAAATAACAATACAATACCAATTAACAACAAACTATAAAGTATAAAAGAATTACTTACAATAGTCAAAAAAGCCTGTGAAATAGAAATACAAAAATACTACAAAATTTACATAAAAACCAATATCCTAAATAGACAAATCCTCCTTACAACAAACAAAAAAGAATTGCTGAAGAAAATATTAGAACGATATAAACCTCAAATAATTACAGAAACAGTTAAAGACCATACTGCAAATAAATTAACACTATTAACAGACCCAACACAATTTAAAAGTCTAATATTTAAAATATTTGCTTCATGGAGAAAAAACAATTCCACTGCACCCCTGTCAACGTTACTAGAATGGAAAGAAGAATATACTCCAAGTACACAGACAATAAACAAATTTTTGCTAAGGTCTTGTTACCATTTTTTACTAGTGAAATCCAAAAGGTGATTATGAATATGTCCAACAAAAAAGCTTCTGGAGAATCAAATATACCATACGAATTTTGAAAACACCTAGACAATAGCCACTTAACAGAACTATGTTCACTATTTAACAAGATTCTAGATACCAAACAAATATCAAAAGACTGGAACCATAGTAATACGTTTCTCATTGCAAAACCTAAACCATGGGAAAAAGACCTTAGAATGACACGCCCTATCGTTCTATTAGAATCAGCACGCAAAATATTCACCAAGCTGCTTTATCTAAGAATTGCAAATATCCT